GGGGGGGGGGGGGGGGGGGGGGGGGGGCGTGTTCGGGTCGGGGCAGAGCAGGGGGTTTACCGGGGGGTTAGGGGGTAGGAACCGTTAATTTTACGAACGGGGCACCAGAGCTCCCCGGGTCATCTCATGACATTGGTTTCCAATGTCATGGGAACCGGCCTCATTTAAGATTACCTGTATTATTTAATTGGACATAAGCAGATAGGCATGTGCAATATTGACTTGTTTATTACTCTAAATATTACACCCTGGTCCCAACTCAAATTAAATTTCAGTATTTACTAATTTATATGGTCAAATTTCATTCTTTTTCTTTTTTATATTTTCATTAATCATCTCACGAAATAGTATTAGGGGTGGGCACGGGTCGGGATGGTTTGAATTTTATACCATCCCGCATTTTGTTCGGTTTTTTTCAAATGGTTCGGAACGGTTCGGGCCACGAGCTTATTTCTCTTTGTCCTTTAACATTCGGGATCGGGAAAAAACGGATGGGTTCGGGTGTTCGAGTTGTCTTACTTTGTCATTTCTCAAATTTTGATTCTCTCTCTGGTATTTGTTCATTTTTGATTTTTTTGGTCAAAATTGGTAAACTTTTACTTCAAATTAAAAAAATGGTATTAGATATTGATACAAAAATAGTTTTATTAAATTTATTATATCAAATATTTTCAAAATAATATTTTATCTAATTAATATACAATATATTAATTAGAATGTTTGACCTGTAAAGTAATTAAAAATGATATATTTATGTAGAATGTTTTTAAAAAGTCAAAATAATAAGGAAACACCTCAAAAGTCAGGGTTATAAATTTCATTTTAATTATGAGCCACAAATTAGGGTGGATCGGGTTAGAACGGTTTGGATTTTTTGTGTTCTAGTCTTAGTCCATTTTTTAGAATATCCAAATATGTACTCTGTATATTTTTATATCTATTTTGGTAAAATCAAGAATTGTGATATTTGTGTGTGTGATATCATTATATAAATAAGTAAGTAGATATATACATATATATATGCGACAACGGGATAGAACGAGAAAATATATATGTCTCGGTCCTGTCCCATTTTAAAACAGTTTAAAATGAGTTGGAGATAAAAAAAATTGCATCCCTAACAAAATGGAACATTATAGGCATGTGCAATATTGACTTATTTATCATCTCACGAAATAATATTAGGGGTGGTTCGAATTTTATACCATCCCACGTTTTGTTCGGTTTTTTTCAAATGGTTCGGAACGGTTCGGGCCACAAGTTTATCTCTCTTTTTCCTTTAATATTCGGGATCAGGATAAAACGGAACGGGCTCGGGTTGTCTTACTTTGTCATTGCTTAAAATTTGATACTCCCTCCGGTATTTGTTCACTTTTGATTATTTTTTTGTCAAAATTGGTAAATTTTAACTTCAAATTAAATGAAAATGGTACTCAGTATTAAATATTGATACAAAAGTAGTCTTATTAGATTTATTATATAAAATATTTTAAAAATATTATTTTATGTAATTAATATACAATGTATTAATTAGAATGTTTGACTTGTAAAGTAATGAAAAAAATAATACATTTATGTGAAATGTTTTTAAAAAGTCAAAATAATAAGGAAACACCTCAAAAGTCAAAACTATATTTTTCGTTTTAACTATGAGCCACAAATTAGGGTGGATCGGGTTAGAACGGTTTGGATTTTTTTGGTGTTCCGGTCTTAGTTTATTTTTTTAAAATATCCGAATATGGATATTTTTATATCTATTTTGGTCAAAACAAGAATTGTGATATTTTTTGTGTGTTATATCATTATATAAATAAGTAAGTAGATATATACATATATACAGGACAACGGGACGGAACGAGAAACTACTTTTGTGTTGGTCCTATTCCATTTTAAAACGATTTGAAACGGGTTGGAGACCAAAAAAATTGCATCCCTAACAAAACAAAACAAAACATTATAGAGATGAGATCGGAATCTTTCGAGTTGGGATGACAGTTTTGGGATTCTTGCCACCTCTAAATGATATAGTCATGTACTACTAGTTTTAATCCTCTAGTGGGGGTGGTGTGGGGGGAGGACACGGGAAGAGATGGAAAGAAATTCTCCCTCCATGACAAGTGGCACAAGTCACACAAATTAGATAGGCATGTGCAATATTGAATTTTTTTATTACGCTCTTCTTTTTTGTGAAAAAAAATACTCTAAAATTTTACTTTCTCCATCTCAAATTAAATTGTATGCTTACTTTATTATTTAGGAGATCACATTTTACTTATTTTCTTTTCTTATTTTGATTGGTCATTTAATAAAATAACATAATCATGACACTACTAATTTTGATCTTTTGATGTAATTGTGTTAATGCAATCCTCCGATCCCTAGAAGAATTGTATTTTAAAGAACCCTTAAAATACAACAATTCCGTTCGAGATTGAAATCTGAAGAACTTTTCTCTCCTTCCATTCTAAAGACGTAATGTTCCATCTATGCCGAGCATTGTACACTACAAAGTATGAACCCCAATTAAACCATTTAACTAAAAACATGAAACTCTTATTGTGATTGAAATTTTTAGACCCTAGACTTCACCTCTTACTTTGAGCTATTTAGCCTTGACCAATATGTTATATGAAGACACCACCAAGTATAAATTGGAAGCCATAAACCACCCCAAAACCAAAAGAAGCAAAAGAGAATAATCACACTCCCTAGCGAATACAGTGGAGAAATACATTAACTTCGCCGTAGTAGACATAAATCACCAATGAGAACTTAAGAATAAATTTCCAAAATAGTACTTTGTAATAAGGTGTTTTCCCAAATCAGTCCTCAATAAGTTTTAATTATCTACGTAGTTCTCTATAATTGAGATTTATTCCCAAGATGGTCCTTCGTAAATAATGTTACTTAAATAAGGATTAATTGAGGGTATTTTGTTATTTTTTATACACTAAATTTAGAATTAAATCTTAAAATGATCATTTATAATGAAGTACATTCCCAAAATGGTTTTTTCTAATTAGAGATGCGTATTTGATTTGAAATTTAAAATATTTTTTATAAGTTTTAAATAATTCATGAATTATTTATAGTCAATTTATTTTATCAATTTTATATTTAGTTGTATAGAAATAATTATTTTGAGAATATATACTTTAAATTTGGATTATCAAAATACCAAAATATCTCCCAATTAATCATCATTTGAGTAACATTATTTACGAAGGACTATCTTGAGAATAAATCTCAATTATAGAGGATCATGTAGGTAATTAAAACTTATTGAGGACTGAATTGTAAAAATACCTTATTATAAAGGACCATTTTGGGAATTTACTCAGAACTTAATTATAGGAACTCAATAATAAAAGATTGGCCAATACAAGGACATAATATGAGATAAAATACTACAGCATGTATTTAGTCAGCCACTCACCCATTGTGATATTAAAGATAATATGATCCTGCCAAGAAAACCAATGCTTTGGGACTTACACCTGACCAGATGACACGTCTACTCTCCATGCTTGATACTTCTTCCTCTGACAAGGATGCCGGAAGTAGTGGTGATACCTCTTCCCGTGATCGAGTGGCTTATTGATAGTGGTGCTTCTCATCACATGACTAGTAATATTGTTTTTTTTAATCGATGTGGTTTCTATGAGCCCGTGTGTCATCACACTACCAAATGGCATGCACACCACTGCAACTCGGCGTGGTCGTCTGCGCCTGTCGCCCGAGGTCGTGCTTCGGGATGTGTTACTTGTTCCTAACTTGCAGTGCAATCTTATTTCTGTTGGATGCCTTATACGTGATAATTCCTGTCTTGTTATTTTTAACAAAAACTGTTGCGTCATACAGGACTGTGCCACGAAGATGGAATTTGGACGGGGTGATGCACACAACGGAGTTTTCCTGTTTCGTTCGTCCTCTACCGCGTTGGCAACCCAAGTGGACCCTTCTCTTCTTCACAAACTCTTGGGACATCCATCCACTCAAGTTTTGTCATCTCTTATTCCTTCTGCTAGTAGCTCTAAACTTAAATTGTTACAAACGTGTGAATTTGTTTTCAATCTAAACAAGTTCGTAGTTCTTTTCCTCTCAGTTCCAATAAAGCTACCAGTGTTTTTTATTTAATTCATTGTGATTTATGGGGACCCTATACCCCGTGTTTAGCTACTGGTGCACACTATTTTCTTACCATAGTGGATGACCACTCTCGTGCTGTTTGGGCTTATTTGATTATTGATAATTGATAAATCTGAAGTGTCTAGCTGTTTGAAACATTTTTTTGCCATGATTCAGACCCAATTTCATAAAACAATTAAAATTCTCCGTTCTGATAATGACACAGAATTTGTCAATCAGGACCTCCGTTCTTATTACACAATTTTGGGTGTCCTTGTCCAAACCTCTTGTGTTGGTACTCCTCAACAAAACGGTCGGGTGGAACGTAAACATAGACATATTTTAAACGTTGCCCGATCACTTATGTTTCAAGCCCAGTTACCTATTGAATTTTGGGGGGAATGTGTACGTACTGCTGTGTATTTAATCCATCATACCCCCCAACAAACTACTTGGTGGCAAGTCGCCTTTTGAAGTCCTCAACCATAAAGCCCCTGATCTTAGTCATCTCAGAATTTTCGGGTGCTTATGTTTTGTTCGTATTAAAACCACTAACAAATTTCATCCCCGCAGCACCAAGTGTATGTTTGTTGGGTATCCCTCTGGAACCAAAGGCTGGCGTGTGTATGATCTTGATAACCATCGTTTCTTTCACACTCGGAATATTGCTTTTGACGAGAGTAGTTTCCCGTTTGCCACACATCGCACGCCGGCCGAACCCTCTACCCTCACTCCATACGCCGATTTTCCCGAATAGCCCCAGCCCGCGTCGCCCCTGGTTACTCTCGTCGTCCCGCTGTCGGCGTCTGTTCCGGTCGGTCAGCCCGGCCCGACCAGCCCATCCCAGGGGACGCACAGCTGTCGTCCCATCCCTTCGTCCACAACGGCAGCGTCGTGAGCCCTCCCACCTTAGTGATTATATCATCAATTATGTTCAATCCCATGCTCATGTGTGTTCGTCGCCTCCCCAATCCTCGTCTTCAAGTACACGTTATCCTATTGCCAACTTTGTTTGTTATCATAAATTGGATGTCAGGTATCGTGGTTTTCTTGGCCTCGTCAGTCCGCACTTTGTTCCTAGAAATTATGCTAAGGCTGTTCCTCATGCGAACTGGCGGGCAGCTATGCAAACGGAGCTCCTGGCGTTGCAAAACAATCAGACTTGGGATATTACCACCTTACCACCTGATCGGACAGCTTTGGGGTGTCAATGGGTCTTTAAGACCAAATTTAATTCTGATGGCACTAAAGAACGGGACAAAGCCCGTCTGGTTGTTCTTGGCAATCATCAGACTTTGGGAGTTGATTACACAGATACATTTGCCCCAGTGGCAAAAATGGGCTCTGTTCGGGTTTTGCTCTCTGTTGCCGCGGCACGGGGGTGTTAAATGCATCAGCTTGATGTCAACAACGCTTTCCTCCATGGTGATTTGATTGAGGAGGTCTACATGCGTTTGCCACCCGATTATGCACATCTTCATCCAGGCAAGGTTTGTCGTCTGCGCAAGTCTCTATATGGGTTGCGTCAATCACCCCGCAATTGGTTTGGAAAGCTTACTTGTGCTCTCAGGCGCTATGGCTTTCGTCAGGCTCATGCTGACCATACTCTTTTCATTCATCGTTGTGGGCCGGATATTTTGGTTTTTCTAGTCTATGTTGATGACATTTTGGTTGTAGGTAACAATTCCACTCTCTATGCTTCTTTCAAAACTTATCTACATCGGTGCTTTCATCTCAAAGATTTGGGGCCCTTGTCATATTTCTTGGGCATTGAGTGTGCCCGATCTGTGACGGGTATTGTTCTTTGTCAACGTAAGTATGCACTCGACATCCTCCATGAAGCTGGTCTTTTGGGCTGCAAACCGGCTGATACCCCTATCACACCAAACCATGGGTTGGGTCGATCTACTAGTGCCGAGCTGTGTGACCCGGATCAGTACTGCCGGCTCGTGGGTCGTTTGATATACCTGACAATTATCAGGACATATCTCTCTTATTCGGTGCATGTCCTGTCCCAGTTTATGCATGCCCCACGACTCTATCACATGGAGGCCGCCAGATGTGTCCTTCGTTATCTGAAGGGTCACACGGGACATGGAATTCTCTTACGCAGTGATAGTTCTCTTCAGTTATCCGCTTATTGTGATTCCGACTGGGCATCTTGTCCACTTACCCGGCGGTCCGTAAGTGGCTATTTCATTCTTCTCGGTGGTTCTCCGGTCTCCTGGAAAACCAAGAAGCAAACCACTGTGTCCCGGTCCTCGGCGGAGGCTGAATATCGTTCCATGGCTAATGCGTGTGCAGAAGTTCGTTGGATTCGGGGTCTTCTTGGGGCACTCGGCGTTACCTCGCCTACGACGCCACACTTGTTTTGTGACAACAAGTCTGCTTTATTTATTGTTGCTAATCCTATCTTCCATGAGTGCATGAAACACATTGATAATGATTGTCATATTGTTCGTGAGTGTGTGCAACACGGTGAAATTGTCACTTCTTATGTTCCTACTCGCCTTCAGATTGCTGATTTATTCACTAAAGCCCTGAACAGACCTCTCTTTTCATTCTTATTATCCAAGTTGGGCATTTGTGATCTCCATGCTCCAACTTGAGGGGGAGTGTTAGCATATATATTTATGTTCACCTTGGTTCCCATGACATTGGAAACCAATGTCATGGGATGACCCGGGAGCGCTCAATTGCCTCGTTCGTAAAATTGACGGTTCCTACCCCTCCTAACCCCCCCGGTAAACCTCACACCGCGCTCCGACCCAAACACACCCCCACCCCCCTTCAATTGCACCCCACAAGTTGATTCTGACTTTGGAGTCAAAATTTGACTCCAAAGTCAAAATCAACTTGTGGGGTGCAATTGAAGGGAGTGGGGGGTGTGTTCGGGTCGGGGCGGGATGGGGGGTTTACCGGGGGGTTAGGAGGGGTAGGGACCGTCAATTTTACGAACGAGACACCGGAGCGCCCCCGGGTCATCCTATGACATTGGTTCCCAATGTCATGGGAACCTTCCCCATTTATGTTTCCATTTATGTAATTGTATCCTAGTATATATCCTTATTTCTTTGTACGTAATCGGGCCTAGCCCAACACACTTGTATTTATATTTCGTAAATATTCAATGGAAAGCAGTTCAGTTTTCACAAATTCTACAACTGTGAACTCCTATTTTGGTCGATCTTAAAAGTTTTATGATTTATATTTTGGTATTTTTTTAATTTTTTTACTTATATCTAGACTAGAGAGTATCTCTATTATTAACCTTTAATATATGTATTAAGTAAGAAGATCATTTTGAGATGGAGGAAGTATATGCAAACATCATACTACCAAAGAATGACAATTAATTATAAAAAAATGCTAGGCAGGTGCCCCAGAGATGATTTATACATACACAATTACACAGACGATAATTGTCTGTAAACATGGATAATTATTATTTCTGTATATATAAATCATCTGTAATTGCGCCTATAAGGACACTCGTGATGGGTTTTTAGCATGATCTTTAATTATATAACTCCTATATTATATGTCCACAGATAGAGTAAACTTATTATTGGCAACTTATGGCTATAGGCATTGTAATTAATATTAACATCTACAGAGATGCAAACTATCACCCACGCCACCAATGAGGTTCATAAATCAATTCTAGAGGTTACTCCCTCCCTCCGAAAATATTCTTTCCATTTTCCTTTTTGGTCCGTCCGGAAATATTCTTCCAATTTTCTTTTTTAGTATACTTTTGAAAGATAAATTTCAATAATACCTTTTTATTTTATCACCAATCTATTTTTTTATTACTTTTTTAATAAAAAAAGGAGATTTAAAAGTTTATAATATGTGTATTTTTGGAAATTTGGCATTTTTTTTATTATTCTTTAATAAGCGTGTCAAGTCAACACGGGAAGAATATTCTCGGACGGAGAGAGTATCATTTAATTTTATACGACAAGGAATCATGTTTTCATCAACTAGTTCACCTTGTTTTGTTAAAATTCCATGGAATCAACGGTACAATATTTAATAAATCGTTGGGGTTCTAGTGTGTCACTGTCATTTTGGGACACTTTCGGTGTTATGTTCGTAAAATTGACGATTCCTACCCTTTTTAACCCACCCTCTAAACCCCCCACTACCCTACCCCCACCCCTGCACCCTCACCCCAACCCCGTCGTAAGCCCCCACAAAATGTGGGGCTAGCTATTATGCAATATAATGCATGAATGAACAAACATGAATGAACTGATTTCGGTCGTCTTTGTCTATTGTCACCACCAACTACGCTTATTTCCGGCGCTAAAGAATCGTGTTACAAAATCTTTTTAAATAATTTATTTCATATTTCAAAACTCATATCATTTATCCGGTCCCAAACCTGAACTTATATGTCAGTCAAAAATTTGAGACCATAACTTCAGCCCCCACATAAAAATTTTGAAACGTCATATTTTTTTTAGTTTGTTTAATTTCTCAAATCTCAAACCACAATTGAAAGTATTTTATAACAAACGAAGAAGATTTAATTTGTTATATATTACTTTGTTCAATTGAGCATAAATTTGTGGTCTTGCATTGCTGTAGAATATGTTTCTGCCTCTCTTTTCTAATGGAAAGATTTTGCTTTTCTCATTCATATGATTTTGGTTTGATTATATTCCTGCTCAATATTTGAGTTTTTTTTTTCAAAAGCAAAAAAAAATGCAATGTATGTGAATGTGATAGGCAAGAAAATTTTATGGTACTCCCCCTGTCCCATTTTATAATGCATGTTTCGATTTACGATGTTTGACTGAAATTATTTTCAAATCATTTTATATGACAAATAATATATAGTTACAAAATAAAAATTACATATTAAAATACTACATCAAAAGATCTACAAAACTAGTAGTGACAATAGTACTTTATTTTTTAAAATTGCTAACGAAAATAGAGAAAGAAAGTGAATGAAGTTTGACCCTGTGAATATTGAACATGAATTATAATTTGGGACGGAGGAAGTATGAGATTAGCTGGGCATTTCGATTTTCAAGTAAATCTTTTTGGTACTCCATAATCCATGGTATTTCACTAAAACCATTAAAATTATGGATTCTTATGGGATCATTTTTCCCCCCAAAGTAGATTATATTCCATCCGTTCTAAATTAAACTCTCTGTTTACTATTCATAGGATCAAACTGCATTCATTTTCTTTCTCTATTTTCGTTACTTATTTGATAAAATAATATATATCCATGTCACCTCTTGCTTTGGAGTCTTTATTTTTGTTACCTATTTGATAAAATAATATATTCATGTCACCTCCAGCTTTGTAGTCTTTAGATATAATTTTTTAATATATAAAATTTATTTTTTAATTTCACTTGAGAGAATATAAATTAAACTTTTGTTACAAATTAGCATGTAATTTATCTTTTATTAATAGCAGCCAAAGTCAAATATAATGTTGTTTCCATGGACCAACCAAACCAGGCAATAAGTCAAAAATGTAGGTGACCAAACCTGCACCACATGACCACAGTAAAGAAAACTGTGTTTTTTCCTCAACAGAAAACCAGACATTTCTAACCAACTCTTGAATGATTTTGGTTGTCATTAAACTCTTAGTTCTCTAATTACTCAACAGAAACCAAAAATAAAACTCGCTTATTTTACAAAAAAAAATGAAAAAAAAGGTATTACAAACATGTTAAATTTATGCAAAAGAAAATAAAAAAGTATTATAAAACACACAAATAAAACTAAATTTGAAGAGAAATGCATAGAGAGATTGAGAATAATAGCACCAAGGCCTTGTTTGGATTTTTTTTATCAAACAAAAGTCCTAAAAGAATCAAAGGGGAAGAGAATCTGAACAAGGAAAAGGGGCTAAAGAGAGCTGCTACTACATATCAACACTTTTTTTTTGACATCTCTCATACAAGTGTCGTCATATACACGGTCCAAACGGGAAAGCGTCGAATCCGAATTCCTCCTCTAGTATGGCTCCATCTTGTTCCTGTGATGCATTAAGATCAGAATTCAAATGTATATATTACGCGGTTTACGCCCTGTCGGGGAACAACGGTTATGACTTATTCTACATTGACATAAGCCAATTATGGCAACCAAACGGAGCTTTAGTTTACGTTGTCTCGCACTTGTGTAACCATGCTTAAACGAAGAATCTTTGACACCCATCGTGGGTGTCATTATATGACACTGGACCNCCCCCCCCCCGCCAGAGCATACGTGTAGAGAAGTTTATGGAAGATTAACTTGGTAAGACCCAATAGAGGGCCTTGGTGCAAAAAAACTGCGTCAAACGAACCATTGTGCCATAAAAAGAACTTTTAACAACCAAAGACGGTATGGACAATAAGATATCGTACCTGTTTGATCGCCGAGCTCATCAATAGATCATCGAGAGATCCAAAACCTTGAGAAGGAAAATCCGAACTTGGTTTCGGTTGGTCAAAGAGGTAATCGTCAAAGTATCCGACTCGCGAGTCCGGTGCCAAGCTACCATTCTTGTTGTCATTTTGCAACTGCATCGAAGACCCGATGTTTGATTGACCGGATGTGCCCATCAATCTGTTACACGGGTCATCACATTGATTCCCGCTTGCCCGTGTCAATGGCGGCACACCATTGTTGATTGGGACCCGAGAACTTGCTACATTGCCAAAATCACGTTTGTGACTATGCTCTACCCATTGTTGGCCAGCCACTTGGTTAATCCTCGGACCAGCATCGCCAACCAACCGCTCTGGGCCCACATAAGTAGACGCGATGGAAGAATACCCGGGGCAGCTGCCCTGTAGATGTGGGGCCAGGGAAGAACCGTTCCCTGTGAATGTGGGGTCATGACAGTTAGAAGAACCACTCACGCTGAGGTGGAGAGGGTCGGGATTTAAAGAGCCGATGTTTAGAGTTTGCGGGTTACCGATTCCTCCCGCAATCAGCCCGATACCCGAACCGGGGTCGGCAAATGTCGTGCTAGCAGGTCCTAAGAGTCTCGGCCCGCCCAACAAGTTGAAGTCGCTCTGTTGCAACGGGTCGACCAGCTCATTTGGTGGGACCCAGCTGCCACTCTGGCCGACAGCTGGAACCGTTGTGGGACCCAACTTCCCAAGAGTGCCAAAGGACTTGCTCATGCCTTGAGGGAGTAGCGAAGATGCGCTAATATTGCGGATGCTCACAGCACCGGCCGCTCCATTTAGCCTACCGAGCATGCCAGCTGGTGGGTACGATGACAAGGCGGGATGCATGAACCTCCCGGTCCCCGCCAGTGTCCGGAAATCACCAAGCCCATCTAGCGACCCCATTCGCATGTAAGCCGAATCCTTACCCCCAAAGGCAGCCACCATGTTGGCCTGTTGGGTTGCAACTGAACTGATCCTTTTCAAGTACAGCCTGTACTTCTGCATCACAAATCAACAAAAAAAATGAAGAAAAAAAAAAGAAAAAAATGGTTATAGCTTTACTTATAGTTCATGATATAGTACATTAAAAATAAAAGGAATTATTACCTGTAGATGGCTTGCTACATTTTCGCGTGTAAGCCCATCGACATTCATCAGGTCAAGAATCCTTTTAGGCACAGCTTCTGCATTAAAAGAATGGAGGACAAGAAACACATGGATGAGAAGAGATCATAATTATAGGGCATGTTTGGATCATGGAAAATGAGAGGGAAAGGGGACTCATTTTCTTATGTTTGGTTCAAAGGAACGGCGCTAAACAAAACTCACTTTCAATGCCCAATTGGTTAACGGCTGCAACAAACTTGCGGTGGAGTTCTATAGACCAAACGACCCTCGGCTTCTTCTGTGACGTGGGGTCCTCATTCTCATGTCCATTGTCATCACTATCGTCTTCCTCTTCCTTTCTCTTCTTGTTGAGCTTCCCGTTCTGCTCAGTGGACCCCGTTTGTGCACCCCCGTGGCCCCCACCTTCCCCACCTCCATAATGTGCCGTGTCTTGATCGGCTGACCGGTTTTGGCTCTTGGAGTCGAACCTCTTCCTTCGGATCACATGTTGCCATATGTTTCTCAGCTCCTCAACGCGAACCGGTTTGACCAAATAGTCACATGCGCCGTGCGTCACTCCCTTCATTACTAGCTTTGGGTCACTGTTTGCCGATAACACTGGAAAACAAAAAAAATAATCAAAAGCCATCACTAAATTTGTGAGACCAAACCAAACAAGCCTACTATATCTCATAGTACTCATTCAAACTTTGTGTGACAGCTTTCAAAAAAAAAAGGAAATTTGACTTTTTACCCTTTATAGTTTACCTTACCGTTTGAGTTTGCCCATCATGAATATATTTTCCCCTTTTAAGCATCCACCCCATGGTAAGGTGTAAAGTCAAATATTGTGGTAAAAATGGGGTGCAAAGTCTAACAGAAAGGACCCCTTTTGGTGTGCAAAGCAAAGAAAAAAAATTAATGTGAAGTAAACCCAGAAAACCCCTGCAAAAATAGGGTCTTGGGAGGGTATGTGTACCCAAATAATTAGGCCATGTTTGGGTTTGCTTAGCGGCTGAAAATGGGAACAACCCGTGGTGTGTTCGAGACATCTAATGCCCCCAACAAATTCAAGAACTGGCAAAAACCCTAGAACTCCCTAACTATTCGTTTCTGAAATTCAAACGCGTGCGACCACACCACATTCCCAAGAATGAGGGAATCCCTGGGAATTGGGGGCCAGGCCAAATGAGATCGGATCTTATCTGTAAAATGAATTCAACCCAAAGAGTTTCAGAAGCTTACTGATGACCGGAAGATCCATCTCCAGACCAACAAGTTCTAGTAGCTTGAACCCGTCCATATCGGGCATATGAACATCACTGATCACCAAGTCAAATCTGTCTTTGTTTTCTCTTAACATATTCAATGCCATTCTTGCTTGACTTGTTGTGGTTACTTCAAAAACAAAGACATAATACCAAACTCCATCAAAGATTTTCAACAAATATATAGAAAAAGGAAAAAAACCTTGTAGCTATAAAAATAAGAAAATGAAAACAAAGAATGAGTATAAAGTTGAAGTCTTTACAACTAAAAAGACTCATACGATCAATACAGGTCACAGTTGTAAAGAGAATATCCAAACAGTTCCTATGATCTGCCCAAAAACTAGGCAATCCATATTTCTTGGAGATTAATTAGCTACAGTCAATTGTCTACAGTCAATTCCAGAAACCGTGCAACAAGCACATGAATAGTGAACTGTGAACTGAAACAGAGATCTATATTTTCCCATGAATTATTAGGATACCAAAACAAGATCCAGAAAGTGGAATTTAAGAAGAAAGTGAGAAGAAGAAAGGGGAAAATTGAATAATTCAGAAATCTGCACTTCATGGTCAAGATAAATCGACCCAGTACTATAAAAATCCTTTAAAATATAATCATTCAATAAAAAATCCAATCTTTTTCAAGTAACAAAGAGGAGAAGAAAAAAAAGAGATAGAAGAGACATACCATGATACTGGCACTTCCTGAGCAGAGTTTCCAGTAACTTCAAGCAAAGAGGGTCATCATCAACAGCAAGGACTCTCATACCAACTGGGAAGTTGTCATAATTACCAGTCTCAGACCCCATATTCCCTCGAATTTCCTCCACAGTCATTCTTTCTGAACCAAAGAAAGAAAGGCCAGGCCAGACCCAGAGCAGATCAGATAATCACTAAGCAAAAGCTTCAATCTTTAGCACAAAGGGTCAACTTTTGTGGACTCAAGAACGCCTAAAATGCTTGGGAATTTGCAGAATTTGGAGAAGAAAAGAAAAGGCAAATTAGAATCAGACACAGGAAGTGGAGTATGTGTAGAGAGAGGGGAGGGGGGGGGGGGTACGTGTGGACAGTGATGGAGACGGGCAGGGGGAGAGAGTGAATGAATTCAACCGATAGAAAAATACCAAATCATACAAATTCCTTTCAGTCATCTCTACATTGCCCATTCCTCCCCCTCTTTCTCTACTTTACTTTTTCTTCTGTATACCCTCTCCTCACATTTATTTTTTTACCCAAGATTGAAGTTTAAGCTCCAATTTCATACTCCCCTCGTCTTTGGCCTCACGAAATTTATCTTCACAAGGTTAGCAAAATATTTGAGTAATTGGTGAAAGTTAGAGTATGCACTTTAAATTTATTTTAAAAAGTGGATGGATGAAGAAGCTTATCAATTTTTAAATCAATCTTTTACTTTAGAATTGTATTTCTTTAGTCATAAAATCTACAGGTAAAATACACTTTTTCGCATATTTTATAGACTTAGAAATAGATCTTTTTTTATATTGCAAAACGCTGAACTCTTCCATTGTATTAATATACTGAAATTCATAAAATTTGTGTGAACCTTCCGACCAAATTTGTCTTCATCCTTTGATTAGGGTAAAGTGCTTACAAGGTCTATATTTTTTTGAAAGTATTTTTCTAGTTCTTGAATTATTTTAAGTGCTTACTAGATTCATATATATTATTGAAAGTGCTCCATAGGTCTTCAAGTTATTTTTACTTCCTACCAAGTTCATATACTTTCTAACTGGTGCTTTAGTAGTCCTTTCGTTGACATTTTTCATATCAAGTGCGTGGAAATTGTTTGAACAACACACACAAGTTGTTTGATAAATTTATGATAAAACATCAATTCTTACAAAAATTTCAGGAAACTTGGTCTGAAAAAGCCACAAAAGAGACCAGTTACGCACTTGTTTAAAAGAATAGGGAACGGATAAACACTAAAAATAATTTAGGGACAACACTTTCAGGAAAATATATAGAGACCTTGTAACCAATTGAAATAATTCAGGGACTTGAGAAACACTTTTGGAAAATACAGTAACACTGTAAGCACTTACCCTTGAAATTAACATTTTCTTCATTTCGTTTGAAAAATTGGAAGAGAAATGAAAAAAAGTCAAGAAGAACTTTGGTGTTAAGTTATTACTCCCTCCCAGCATAAAAGATTACCACAATTTGTCTTTTTTTGGTCAAATTGTGGCACCTTTGCCCACGAATTATAAAAAAGGATATATTTAGTTATAATGTAAATTAGTAAATTTGGGTTTATTTTAAAATATAGTTTTAAAATATCAATTTTTAATAATATTTAATTACTTTAAACTATATCTAATTCGTAATAAAAAAGGGGCCACAGTTTGACCAAAAAAATTAAATTGTGCCAATGTTTTAAGAACGGAGGGAGTATTAAGAAAGTGAAAAGGAAAATTAAGAAAAATGGAAAAGGTATTTTCTTTTCTTTTTGTGGAGGAAAAGAGAGAAAAATAAAAAAAATTATACACAAGGTAAATGATATCCCTTCGGTCTTAAAACGTTCTTCCTGTTTTTATTTACGAGGTTTGACCGATTTTATTTTCAATTCAATTTCTTTGATTGTAGGTGTAATTAAAAAATAAATTTATATATTTAAAAATTATATCAAAAGTTTTACAAAACAAGAGATGGCAAGATTATATTATTTTATTAAAAGTAAAAATAGATTAAAAAAATAATTAAAATTTGGCTGTGTAAATAGTAATTGGAAAGAATATTTCAGTAGGGATGGAATAGATTTCATGTCTATCTTCTCGTTCAGCTCAACTTGTTTTCTTGTTTTCTCTCATATCGTCCAGTCAAGTTTGATATTATTAAAAAAACAATGTCTTGGACAACTTTCTTACTAACTAAACAAAATCTGAACAAGATTTGAATTTTAGTGTTAATTAATTTTTTTCCCTTTCTACATATTTGTTTTCTAATTTCTCAAACCAAATCATACAAAAAGTAAAAGAAAACCATGCAGTACAAATAGATTAATGGCTAATTAGATAGTAAAATAATCCATGTCAATGGCGAAGGGGGTACATAATTACGGCTTATTAGTTGACATTCAATTTCTTATAGTTAAAAAGTTTATTCGTACTTTTTTGAATAAATTACCCATTTTAGATATACACAAAAGGAGACATACTTGACCCTACCAAAAATAGATTTCACTCTTAATTACTTCTTATTAAGAAATATCGCGTACAATTAATATTAACGTTTTAGATAAAATTTTATATTTTAAAAACACCAAAATTAAACGTTATCGTTAAATAATCTTTTCAAAACCGTAATTCTTATTTTTTTTTATGTTGTTGTCAAACAAACGAACCATCCTTATATTATTGAGGTAGTAGCTCACTTTAAATTCTGTATTTCAGAATTTAAATTTAACAATGAGTAACAATTATAGTGTAAAGAATAAACCTTTAAAACTTCAATAAATGGACGAGTCCAGTATTTCTGGGTGGAGTATTCCACTTTAGACCAAATCTTGTTTTAATTTTACCAAATTCATCAAATTTTATGTGGATTTGGGACCAAGGCCAATGTAGTAGTCCGAGTCACATTAGTCCTCCAAGTCATTCTACGGCATGGGCTTTGATTAGAGTACATGTGGTGCTCTATTTGAAAATTGATAGTACATGCCCGTAAATTCTTCGATGAATTCCCCACCCCTCCAATTGCACTCCACGGAATTTAGTTCACTTTAGAGAACCTACAATGCTCCATTTGGAAAATTGATGGTCCTATCCTCTAAACCCTGTGGTAAATCCCACATCCCTCGAACTGCATCTATCCCACAAAATTTAGTTGATTTTGAAGTCAAAATCTAACTCCAAAGTCAACTAAAAATTGTGTGGTGTAAATGGAGGGAGTGGGGGAGTCGGTTTGGGTCGGGTCGCGGTAGGAGGGTTTACCGGGGTTGGAGGGTAGGATCGGAATTATTAATTTTTCAACTGTAGGTGCCCCAGGTCATCTATATTACATTAAATTTCAATGTCACTTGAACTGGGATGATCTATAAAAATGCTTATTATTCCATGCATCTATCTTTTTTAGTAGACAAATTCTTCTATAGTCTTAAGGTCTATACTCATTTTATGAACCCCATTATATAAACACCATAGATGATTTGGGCTTTTTAAAAAAATATTAGCTGCATAAAAATCAAATAAATTTTTGTTTAAGGGACAAATACTCTAAATAAGCCTTATTCATTTATAGAAAATGTAACGTGTTCTCAACTTCTCATAGATACATGCCCCATGTCTCCCTCAAAATGGAATGAATGAACTAAAATATGTGTAATATACTCCCTCCGTCTAACAATACAGTTCTCGTTCACTATTTACATGGTCAAACTTTATTCACTTTGTTGGCCTATTTTTGTGTCTTATTTGATAAAATAATATAATCATGTTACCTCTAGTTTTGTAGATCTTTTCATGTAGTTTTTTAAATATATAATTTTTATTTTTTAATTTCATACCATTTTTCATATAAAATGATTTGAAAATAATTTCAGTCAAACATCGTAACGCACAATGATAACTTTATTTGTGGACAGAGGGAGTATAATTTGGTACTTAGAGCACTGGTAATGGTTATGAAGCCCCGGGGCTTCAAACTTTCTCTCTCTGCCACGTCAGCTTTAACTTACATCCAAAATTCACTGGAAATGAGTTTGAAGCCTCGGGGCTTCAAAACTGGGCTTCAAACCTTCATTTTTTACATTTTTAAATATACATCTTCTAAAATTAAATTAATAAAATGTAATTAATTTATTATTTAATTAAATTGAAACACGAATAATAAAAAATACATTAATTAAATAAAAAACGACAATATTTTAAAAAAAACGACAATATTTTAAACCAAGAAATAAATAGACAATCAGAAATGAGCTTTAGTCCAAATAAAAATAACGTTTCTTTATTTGGACAAAAAATAAAAATGTATAGTTTGAGACAAATAAATTGTGCACTAATTCTTTGATTTCTGATTTTTAAAACATTATAAAAATAAAATTAAAAAAAAACTTAAAACATTTATTAAAAAAAAGAAAAGAAAAAAGAAAAAAAGAGATGGGCGGGGAGGGAAAGGAATGACGCAGCGTCATTCCTTTGACGCACGCTGGTTCACGCCCCTTTCACGCCGGAGGGGGGCGGTGTTTCACGCCCCCGGGACGTAAAACGCCGGCGTGATGAGTATTACGAGTGCTCTTATATTTCAAACCATAACTTTAGTGGGTGTAATGTGTAAATTCTATTTTTATATCCATTAGTGTCGCACTACCCAAGCAAATTGGGATACTTATTATGACTAATCATTGTACGTAGTACTTTTTTCATTTTTCTATTTTTTGATGAACAACTAATCATCAAACCTGCTAATTTAAGTTCATAATAGACTTATAGTTTAAGGAATTAAACGGTATATTTTCATGACAACTCATAACCATACGAGTAATACTTTTTTTATAATAATTTTTTAGTAACTCCCAAAATCATCATGATAGTATATGTTCAATCTTATAATTACAAACTGTTAAATGTGGTAGTAAAACTTAAAATATGGGTGCGGAGAAGCTTGAATTGGATTTTACTATTTTAAGAATTACTCTCTCTCATCCGTCCCAAATTAAATTGTATATTTACTATTCACATGATCAAACTTCATTTATTTTTTTTTATATTTTCGTTAGTCATTTGATAAAATAATATAGTCATGTCACCATTAGTTTTTATATCTTTTGGTTCAGTTTTTAAATATATAATTTTGAGTTTTTAATTATACATAATTTTTAATGTAAAATAATTTTAAAATAACTCCAATCAAATATTATAAACCGTAACATACAATTTAAATTGAGACGGAAGAAATAATTGTATTATTCTTAAAGGATAACCATGCGCGCGCAAACATTAACCGTCCACATCAAATAACCCTTTATTTTTTTTGAAAGACCCTTTATTAGTACCCCATCCATTTAAGTTATTTATAATAACAACACACACCTCCTTTAATTTTAGTAAAATTTGCACTAAATAAGACTAAAACATAATGACTTTCCC